CACCGCCTCTCCTGCAACAACGAGCACGCCGAGCAGGCTAGGCGTCAGCACTTCCGTCCTCTCGATATTACTCAGTCAGCGCCAGTAAGCACCTGTAAGCACTCTCTCCCCAACCCCATCCTCTCATTTCTCCGTCAGCATCAGACAGCACCAGTCAGAACTATAGTCAGCCCCACTCAACACCAGTCAGCACTCCCTCCCACCCTCTCATTATAGTACTCAGTCAGTACCAGTCATCGCTCCCGTCCTCTCATTACAGTACTCTCAGTCAGTACCATAGGCATCACTCTCTCCCGTCCTCTCATTACAGTACTCAGTCAGTCAGTACCAGTCAGCACTCCCTCCCGCCCTCTCATTACAGTACTCAGTCAGTACCAGTCTGCACAAGTCAGCACACTCTTCCGTTCTCTCATTACTCAGTCAGCGCCCTCGATGCATGCCCGTCGAGTGGGTGGGTGTCCCCGAAGTGATCGAGATGGATCGAGCGTGTTTTCAGCCCAGCCCATTGGCCGCGTCGGAGGTGCTCGCCTCTAGCTAGGTCTGTCGCCCAGCGGCGGTAGGGGCTAGCCGATTCGAACGCGGCCCCAACTCCCTCGCCCCTCCCCGGCCCCCCGGCTCTCACGCCGCCGGAGGAAGGTGCTGAGCGGGCTGTGAAGTATAATTCAGTCTCTCCCCCGTCCCGCCCCTCCCCTTCCCCCCTCTCCCCGCTCCCGGGGCGTGTCGCGACGCTGCAGGACACGGTGTCCTTGTGGAGCGGGGGAGGCAGGCGGCCCCATCCATGGTGCCGCCGTCCGGCGCCGCGCCGCCTCGACAGACACAAGGGGAGATTAGTAGTGCTCCCCGCCTGCCGTCGCACCGTTGCGTGGCCGTGCTGAGGGTGGGGGTGCTGAGAGGCCTGAGCTCGCGGCTGAGCGGTGCTGAGCGGTGCTGAGCGGCGCTGAGCCACCCGCGCCTGGCATCGGCTGCGAGAGGCTGAGGAACATGTGTCCCCCTCTCCTCCTTCCGTCCTCTCGGCCGCACTGGGTCTCGACGGCCTGGAAAACTCGGGCGAGAAGGAGAAGGGGGAGGGAAGCCACCACCAACCCAACGTCTCCGAAAATAACAAAAAAAATCTTCAATACTTTATTTCTTATAGCGACGGAACAGGAAAAAAGTGTCACCGATTTATCCTAGTCACGGACTTGAATGGGAACTCTCCTCTTTTCTTATTGCCACGTAACTGGGCGCCCTGTTTCTCTTCCGGCGTCCGCTGCTGGCCCCGTTGGCCGCGGGGTGGGGTGGAAGTGAGAGGCAGCGGGGGTGCTAGTGGTGGGGGGGTTGAATCTGGAGACCTGCAGTGTGACGGGCTTAGCTCGGCGGCGCGGCCCTGGACGCGGGAGCCGTGGACTCGAAACTGGATTAAAGAAGCGCCGTGGATCGCTGCGGCCCGAAATACAATTTTCTCACTTAGGGGCGGCCATTGTGTGCGATTACACGCCTGGCTGGGCCGTAATGCACAGGCGGCCCCGCCTCTTCTCCAGGCTCTTCCTGGAGCCGCCTGGAGAAGCTCCTCCGGCCGCTCAGCTCCGGGGGACGGAAAAGTGTGGGTACTGTGCGGCCGAGGGCCATACCACGCCACGGATGGAGTGGGGGAAATATGGCAGCGCGTCCCTCCATATCCCACTAGATATCACTACTGTAGTACCTTGCGTTTTATTCCCGGGACTATAACACATGCGTCTCGAGATTTGAGCTCATGTGTTGGTTCGCATTTGGGCACTCGTTGATTGATGTAGCAAAATACCGAGTGACAAACCTACTTACGCGCCTACATCAAGTGTGAGGCAACCGATTTTTCTGTTTTCACTAGTTTTTTTTTTATTTCCTCCGATTTTTTAAATGATTTTTCATGATTATTTAAAATTGATTTTCTGGGTTCTTTGCGGGGATGTTTCCCGATTTGTTTTGAGTGAAGTACTTCTTGGTGGTACCCACCTTCCTCGTCGAGAGCGTCCACCACGTCGTCGGTCTGGTGCGTGACCTGCTGCAGCACGCGGACCTGCGTCTGCCCGGGCTGCCGCACCAGGTTGAGGATCTGGAACGAGGAGGCGAGGGCGCGCGCGGGTCTCTCCTCCAGCCAGTCGGCGCGCCCGGCCAGGGCCTGCATGGCGGCCATCCGGAGCTCCCTGCAAAGACAAAAGAAAACTCCAGTGTTACACCAGACTTGTTTCGCGCGTTCCTTTTCATTTAACGTCATTTCTTTTCTTTTTTTTAGGGAAAGAAAAAAAAGTGAGCGCAAAGAGCTGCGCGAGAGTTGGGAAGGGGGGTGGGGGCGCACAAAATGACACATTTTCGGACGAGCCGAGCCAGTCGTCATCTCTCATAACTGTCGGGCTGGCGCGGCCGGGCGCGCGCGCACGCGTGGCGCTCCTGCCAGATGCCCTTAATGGGCGCGCCGAGGAGGGGGAGGGAATGAACCGCGCAGCTCATCCCCACGGCGGCCCAGTCCCGTTGTCAAGCACGCCGCGCCCCAACGAGCCCAGCGCTACGCCCCGCCACGCCCCTCCACGCCCCGCCACGCCACGCCCC